CATAGAAGCTGGCACAGCTTTCTTAACACACTTTCTCCTGACTTCTTTCTCAATATTCGTTTCTGCTGTGGTTTGGTATATTTTTTATGTTCTGAAGTGCAGTCTTATAGTTATTTCATAGTACTTATATATTTAGGAAAACAAATTGGATATAGTATATGACATGACAACTTTCATTCCTTCATTCCAGATTGAGATAACTTCAGAGCTTCTTGAAATACAAGGTAGTGCTTGATAATAGGGACAGTACTAATTTATAGAGTTGTAGTCCCAAAGACAGATCAGCTACTATGAATTTGGTTTACTCTATAGTCTATATTCTCTAGGGCCATCACACAAGCTCCTTTTTTTTTTTTTTTCCTCAAGGTATCCAAAGTGGCTCTTATCCATAGCTAATAGAAGGTATTGGACAATGGCTATGAATTTTGAAGAGCTGAGGAAATGACCATAGTCATTGCTAGGTGTAAGTTATACTTAATTTTCCAAAGATTAGATTTTTACCAAGGTTGCAGAGTCTAATAGTTCAAAATTAACATTGACCAAGACTTCCAAAAATAGAAAAGGGGAAATATGGTGATATTTTATTTGTACTGAAATGTGATTTTATTTGTATGTTAATAAATAAAGTTGCTAATAGCAAGCCATCGCAGAAGCTGGGCATTGGTGGAGCATGCCTTTTATCCCAGCTCTTGGGAGGCAGAGCTAGGCAGATCTCTGTATGTTCAAGGATACAGCCAGCATTGGAGACAAACGCCTTTAATCTCAATACCAACCATAGAAGACCTGGAGGTCTGTACAGACAGGCAGTGATGAGGCGGTCATGTGGTTGGGTTTACAACCAGTGAGAAGGCAGAACAGAAACACTATAAAAAGACAGACACACAGGAGGTAGATCTCTTTTGGAGAGGTAGGGCAACAGCGACAGGGAAGGGTAAGGTTTTTAGCTCTTAGCTCTTGCTCTGACCTCTTGGCTTTCATTTCTGCATTGGCTCTGTGTTTCTTATTTAAATAAGACAGTTGGTTACATCTACACTTCAATAATATGAAATTCAACTAAGTTTCCATTTACTTTGAATATACATGCTAGCAATTGTGTTAATTACTTTGAATCTATTATTTTGTTTAATTCTCGCTGTCGAAGGTAGATACTCTTCCCATGTTAGTGATGAGGTGATCAGTGCTCAGAAACAGAAATTTTGGTAAGTAACTCTCCTAAAACAAGTGTTACTTGGTGGTGGAATCAGATTCCTGACCTGCTGTGAGCATCTGCAGCCTGTGCTCATAATTCCTGTTCTGTGGTTTCTTTCTTCACCCTTTCGCCCTTTGGAATCTCCATGTTTTTCTCTGCAGGAAAATAGGAATTGGGCTTTACTACATGTTACGTAGTTCATTAACCTTTGGTGTTCTACTCATTCTTCATTTTGTTCTGTGGCATTCGTTCACATAGCCGTAGAGTGTTTTCTAGTTGAAAAGCAAAGTGTTGGGGACATGTTGGGATGTGTCTTGAGCCCTTTGACAGCTTTGGGGGACCTTCAAGGTCTATAGCACCTCAGGGAACGCAGCTTCTAGTGCTTAGTGTCTAATCTTTTAAAGTAATTTTTGTTTTTTCTGTTCTAGGAAAGAATCGTGAGTTTGTTATTTGACTAATTTTCGTATCCAGCTTACATTTATTTATCTTTCCAAGTTTCATTTCCCCCTTTTTTGATTTTTTCTTTCTTCAAACTCTACTAGCATAACAAATAATATGAGGATGGGATGTGAGGGCCCTCTGGCTACAACCTCAGTTACCCCGTCGTTTGCCAGGGTTGATTCGGTGGACCTGGTTCTTCTTCACCACTCCGTGAGCGTCCCTCCTGAAGCTGCCACGCTGATCTTCCTCACAGAGGTGGACAGGTCAACTGAGACGGATTGGTCAGGGTATATGAATAGCTGTGCCAACCAAGCTAAAGAGAATTGGATGACCATTTATTATTCAAAAGAAAATTCTGAGCAGTATTCTTTCCTTGCTGGTTTTTTTTAGGTCAGTTTATCCTTTTCAGCATTGTTTAGTACTAGAATTCTTTGTATACAGCCCCTTTATTTTCAGGAAGAAATGCTTATTTTAGGTACTGAACACTTGAAGCCATCTTTAAATTATGCTCCCGTCAGATATTTAAACACACACAAAATGATAGTTGGCATTTCTTTGATATATCTCCTATGTGCCCACAAATTTTTCCTACAGCTTTTGGATTCACTTTCTCTATAATGGGAAACACCTTATTGATTTTCAAAATGAGTTGTCAGTTTAGTGTATCGTAGCCCTGGTTGCCCTGGAACTCACTACAGACCAGGTTGGCCTTGAACTTAGAGATCAGCCTGCCTCTGCCTCTGGAGTGCTGAGATTAAAGGCGTGTGCTACCACTGCCCAGCAAAAGCAAATAAAATTCTATGTGCACTAAAACATTTCCTTGGAAAAATCTGATGATAACCTAAATGTATTTCTGTCTTACTCCAACTTTTCCTTCCTTCCTTCCTTCCTTCCTTCCTTCCTTCCTTCCTTCCTTCCTTCCTTCCTTCCTTCCTTCCTTCTTTTTCTTTCCCCAAGACAGGGTCTCACTGTATAGACTAGGGTAGCCAAGAACTCCCAGAGATCTCTTTGCCTTTGCTCCCCAAGTGTTGGAATTAAAGGCATGTGCCACTACACCCAGATTAATTTTTTTCTTAAAGTGTTGAGAGTCATAATTGATTTTTGTTTTAGAACAGTGCATAGTATGAGATCAGAAGAAGTGAATCTTGAGATTTCTTTTGATTCTTCATTGCCCCCACCACTTCAAATCTAGCATTTCTTTTCAATCTAGTGCTTCAAAGGATAATCCTTTCTGGAATCAAGTGTACAAAGCAGACAGTACTAATAGGATACTTAGAGGTTTAAATGATGCAACAATAATGAAAAATACCTCTGTGCTACTTCCTCCAAATTGGAGTGCACTTCCGTTCTTTTTTATCCATCTTAAACACTAATTTAAGGGAGCTGTACTTACTGTCAGCTTTGATTTTAGATCATAGATATTGTTTAATCATTGTAGAACTCCTTTTTTAATGGTGGTTATACTAGAAGTAGATATTCAAGGATTTCCTGAAGTACCTACCTGTAGAAGGTCTTAGTTATCCATAACCCACTTTTATGGAATGAAAGAAGCAAGTGCCCAAAGACAGCAGGCTCTCAGGGGAGAGTGCATTAGAACACTTGGTCACATCACTCACGCTCTGAGATTGGGATGCTCAGTGTTTAAAATAGAAAGCTAATTTAAAGTTAGTATCGGTGGCTAATTTTGTTGTTATTAATGTGTATGTGTGTATGATGTGTGAGAATATGAGCACGCATGTACTACAGCACATCTGTGGAGGGCAGAGAGCAACTTTTGGGACTCGATGCTCTGCTTCCACCTTGATGTGAGAGCTAGGGATTGAACTCAGGTTGTCAGGCCATCTCACTAGTCCTAAAGTTCTTTTAAGGCCCCGCATCTTACATGGTTTGGAGTATAGTGAAAGGAACACAATGTCTTAACATATTGAAAGTAGATAATGCTTCTGAATATTTAACAAGATTCAGTGAAGTTGACATTTTTATTTAAGCAAAAGTACTTAAGCCTTTTCAGAATATATCCTTTATTTCCATAAGATATCAGCAAAGCATGTTCGCTACATGTTTGTAGTAGTTAAGGGGACGTGGGGCATCCAATAAAGGAGAAACGAGTGCTTTGAAATCTGATAACTATCAAGCTTGGTAACGAACACCTGTACTCTGTACCCTGCTGCTGGAGAGACTGACGCCAAGTGGATTGATCCTGAAATTGGGCCAGCTTGGACAACATAATGAGAACGCGTTTACAATAAAACAAAAGCAGTCGCTGGGGCTAGAAAGAGGGCTCAGTGGGTAAGAGCATTTGCTGCTCTTGCAGAGGGCCCAGGGTTGGTACCCAGTACCCACACCAGGTACAACCATCTGTAACTCTAGTTCCAGGGCAGCTGACACTCTGTTTTGGCTTTCCACCATACACAAGTAAAATAACTAAATACATACTTTAAAAACCTAAAAAAAGACACCCCCACCCCCCCACCCCCTACCCCCCCATCCCCGGCAAATGAGAACAGTTGCCTTGAACAAGTCAGTAGGGTCAAATGCTGTCTTTCCTCCTCCCCCTACCATGGTGGAGTCAAACCCTAGACCTTGCGCATGCGAGTCAAAGGCAGTCTTGAGGAAATCTTTGTAGTGTGGCAACACATCACTTGCTCACAATGGAAGCTGAGTAACCAAGGAGATTCTGCCACTGGTTTTTGATTATGAAGATACAAGACATACAGTATATCTACTATGGAGTCCACCAATTTAGCAAACTTTAAATATTTCAGATATACTATACACTTCTAAACATTTAACCTATCGCCTTATTCATCTGATGTTATTATAATGTTAACATAGACATTACCATCAGTGTATGTGCCGTTTTGTTTGTGGAATCTAGCATTACCACGGATGTAATCTGAATGTCTTTCTTAATGGATGTAGCATTCATCATTTGGTGATCACAAGTGTCTATCAAGGATCTTTCTACTAAGTGAAAACATAAATGTCATGGATTGGTTTGTGGTGATATGTGTTTTTAATAAATACTGGAAAAGAAATAAAACATTTTTTTGAGAAAAATTGGTTAAACTTTTAAGTACTGCCATAGTATCTCTTAGTAAAGTTAAAGATATTATAGTCACATGCTGATAATATGCCCCATAATTTGTAGGAAACAATACTTTTAGAAGCAAAATGTTTTATCTACCCCAAATTTTGAGTATCTGTGTGTTGATTTCCTGACTGTTACGATTCTGAGAGAGCTTACTTGCACTGAAGTGACAATGTTTGAAAATTCAACTTCATGGGATACATTTTTTCTTTTCTTTTTCTTCTTTCCCCACCCCTGAAAACTCTAGTACAGTACAGTGTTTGTCATTCTATATGGCAGGATACCCAGAGTTATATTGACGGATATCCTGCGAACGGAGTTAGGAAGAAAATACTTAAAGATCCCATCTATAACTGAGGCCAGTTTGAGTGATACAGCCAACCTGAAGTCAGAGCAACTTTCTTCATCATCTGATGGCAGCTTAGAGTCTTGTCAGAATGTAAATCATCACGAGAGCTTTTTATCTGAAAGGTATGTCTAGTGCTAAAAATATATATATTCATTCTTTTTTTTTTTTT